GGGTGACCGGCGCTAGGGCTAGGAGACTGCCTGGCGGGAAGCCACACAGCAGGGAGCGCACGGCGCGGGAGCGGCCGCTCAAGCATCCACCTGTGGTGGAGCGCGGGGACTCGGAGGGACACGGGGCCCCGGGTGCCCCCCGGAGACCGTTCCCCGCGTCTGACAGCGCTGTCCCGTGGCCGCCTGTGGTTCAGCCAGTCTCCCCGGAGCCGGTGTATCCCTGTGTCAAAGCTTTGGAAACTTGAGCGCAGCGCCCCTCCAGGGAACGGTTGTTATTGATGCCGCGAGCCGGGCTGACGAAGGAGGTGACCCCGAGGCAGGGCGCAAATTGCTGACCTGTGTCTCAGGCAGTGTGCGCTCCCCTGAGTCAGCTCTGCACCGCGGGGTCAGGTTGGGTCCCAGTGGTCCCATTTCGGGGTGAATCGTGTCCCCCTAGTGCCTGGAGGAGCAGCCCTTCATCCGGAAGCTGGGCAGTACTTCAGCCCACAGGGGATGCGTGGGTGGATTCGTGCGGCCGCTGGAGGCAAGTCCATCTTTAAAGCCATAGTTTCCTATCAGGACAAGCGACTGCTTATTTCCAGTCGCTCTGTCGCTAGCGAAAGAACCCCCAAAACTTGAGTGTGACTGGAGTGGTTTGTTTTATGTTGTTTTTTTTTTTTGAAGTTGGAGTATTGCGTTTTTATTTAAATGGCAAGACCTAACGTGTTAGTGGGAATTTCCCTTAATGTAATGTGCTCTGTACAGCAATAATCATAGATTAAATCTCCACTCATTAAGGGAATATTTATTGGTCCCTTTGCATGCTCTGAACCCTATTGCATCATTTATTCTCCCAGCATTCTTATGGGGTCTTTGGGGACAAGACTTCTCAGATACTAACCAGAAATGAAGCCTAGTGAGCCACGTTAAAGTGTTTCATAACCCACTTAACAGAGAGAATTAACACTAGTCTCTTCCTTCCCCCACTCTCCTCTAGCTTAACTCCAGCACCTTTTTCTTTTCGTTATTTTGAGACAGAGTCTCATTATATAACCCTGAATGAAATGGAACTTGTTATGTAGACCAAGCTGGCATTCAACTTACTTCGATCCCCTTGACTTTGCCTCTCAAGTTCTGAGGTTACAGGCTTATACCATCAGGCCCAGTTTAACACTACAGTTTTCTTGGGAAAAAAATAAGCATCTAAAGACATATACAAACTGACTGACAAACTTGGTTATAAAGTGATTTCCTACTTCACTTTTCCTATTATCACAATCTTTTCTTTTTCTTTTAAAACTTCATTATTTTTATTTAACGTGTAAGCGTGTTTTGTTGGCATGTGTGTCTGTGTACCTCCTGTGCCTGGTACCACAGAGGCCAGGATTGGGTGTCAGATCACTCTGAAACTGGAGCTAAGGAAGGTTGTGAACAGATAAGTGGGTGCTTGGCATCAAACCCGAGTCCTCTAGAAGGGCAGCTAGTGCTCTAAACCACTGAGCCATTTCTCTGTGCTCTTACAGAGCACCGCCCTGATCTCCAAGGCTGCTGCACACATGTAGTACACTGACATACATGCAGAAAACACCATTAGATCAAAAAAAAAAAAAAAAAGTAGTGTGTGAGCTGGTGTAGAGGCTGAGGCAGGTGGATCTTTGAGGCCAGCTAGCCTGGTCAACACAGCAAATTCCATGACAGCCAGTGCTACATGGAGAAACCTTGTCTCAAATATCTAAAACAACAACAAAAGCCATGATTTAATTACATCATAGAAAGAAAACTATTACTGAAATATGGGAATAATTATTATTGAGATCCAAACATTTTATTATCTCAGTTAACCTATGTAAATTATTTCATTTAGTTCTTCAAAGGTCAAAGGTGAAGTCTAGAGTAGACTATCAGCATGGTGTCTTTGTTATGCTGCTGCTCCCTCCCCTTCTGAGCCAACGCTGGGGGCAAAGTTGTCCAGCTTCTGCCTACTAAGGTTTACGACCCTCATGAGTAGTTATGTGCTCCTTTGACTTAATTACTTGTGTGTGTGTGTGTGTGTGTGTGTGTGTGTGTGTGTGTGTGTGTGTCTTATTGATATTGAATCCTAGGGCCTCACAATTGCTAAGCAAGTACTCTTCCACTTTCTTTTTATCCCCCCCCTTTTTTTTTTTTTTTTTTTTTTTTTTGTGAGATAGGGTCTTGCTGCCTGGCGTTGACTGGCCTGGAACTCACTGTATACACCAGGCTAGCCTCGTGCAGAGATCTGCCTGTCTCTGCCTCTGGAGTGCTGTTGTAAGAATGTATACTACCACACCTGGCCCAAGCCTGTTTTTGGTTTTGATTTTGGATGGAGACTCACTTTGTAGCTCAGGCTGGTCTAGAATTCAGGCAATCCTCCTGCCTCAGCTTCTCAAAATAGGTGGGTATTAGTTAGAGCACTGCTAGGACCAGTGAATCTGCCTTATAGGTATGAATACCACATCCTTTATAGTAACGTCAAATGAAAAGACCAGGCTTTTTTCTCCTGAAAATCACTCTGGGGGAGGTTGTTTGTTTTTTGTGATTCCGGGAGTTGAAAAGCCGGGCTCGGTACCTGCTAAGTCAGCACTGTTGAGCTTCTTCCTTAGCCCCTAGGAAGCCCATCCTTAACCAGGTGTGGTGACTGAGGCTGGAGAATTTCTGAGAGTTGGAGGCCAGCCCAGGCCACAGTGAGAGGCTCCCCACCCCAACCCCCAAAAAAGACGAGGCAGAGGAAAGAAAATACTCTCAGTGTCCATGTCACACTGAGAGTCCAGTTATATATGTACTCACATGCCTCTCTCTGGCTTTCAAGAGTGTCTTGTTGTTTTGGGTTGTTATTATATTTGTTGTGAAGCTTTGGAGTCAGGAAGGCATTTACAGCCCAAATATACTATTGTGGTTTGGTTTGGTGTAGGAGTTACAGGAATAAGCCACTGTGTGCTTTGTTTTGAGGACAGTGACTTCAGCTACTTTTCTCCATCTCCTCTGCCCTTTTCAAATTGTTCTCCATTCTTCCATTTTTATCATCTCCACACAATTCACATCATCATTCATCAGCTAAAGAACACAGATTTCTTTTTAAGAATTATTTATTTATTTAGTATGTATACGGTGTTCTGCCAGAAGAGAACACCAGATCTCATTATTATAGATGGTTGTGAGCCACCATGTGATTGCTGGAACTGAACGCAGGACCTCTGGAAGAGCAGCCAGTGCTCTTAACCTCGGAGACATCTCTCAAGTCCCAAGAATACAAAGTGGTTTTTTTGTTTTGTTTTGTTTTTTGGGAAATAGGGTTTCTCTGTAGCTTTGGAGGCTGTCCTAGAACTCACTCAGTAGACGAAGGTTGGCTCAAACTCACAGAGATCCACCCCTTCTCTGCCTCCCGAGTGCTGGGATTAAAGGCATGTGCCACTGACTACTATCTAAGAATACAAATTTTTTAAACGATGTTTACTCTCTTATTTTCTCGTTGCTCCTGGGAGCAACTCCATAATAGTCTCTATGGCCTACAAGGCTCCCTCGTTTCATCCCTCTTCATGCCCCAGTTCCCACCTAATTGCCCTTCACCTTTTTGTTTGTTTGTTTTCAAGACAGAGCTCCTTTGTGTAACAGCCCTAGCTGTCCTGGAACTCGCTCTATAGACTAGGCTTCTCCGACTCATAGAGATCTGCCTGCCTCTGCCTCGAGAGTGCTGGGACTAAAGGTGTGCACCACCATTGTCCTGCTGCCCTCCAGTCTTTATGCTCACTGCTATGTATGCATGGGCCGAAACAAAAACAGGTATTCAGTAAATGTTTGGTAAATGGATCTATATGTGGATGCTGGCATTTGAATTCAAGAGAATCAGCACCAAATTCTTTATGATAAAATGTGATTACATAGCAGAAGTGGGTTCTGGTACCTTTTCTTCCTTGTCATAGCTCAGGCAAGTGAGTCATTTGCCCTGAGCCTATTTCAATAGGTGTGATAGAGGATTGATAGTGTAATAATGATCTGAAGTTTTAACTACAGGACGCCATATTAAAGGACCTAACACACTGCAACACTCAGACTATGTTAACTTTTGATGATATTGTTGTCAGTTTATGGTTCTCTGAAATCCTAGGCAACGGTTGCATATATATATATGCAGTGTTTTACTTTATAGCCCAGAGAAGCTTCAAACTTGCAATCCTTCTGCCTCAGCCTTCTGCCTCAGCTTGCCAAGTGGAGACTAGAGGTGTGAGCCACCATATGCAGTTTCAAACAGGGTAGTTTCTGTTGTTTGTTTGCTGTTATTACTTGCAGAACTTAAGATTGAACCCAGGGCTTTGTGTGTGCTAGGCATGTGTTCTACCACTGAGCCATGTCCTTAGCTGTTTGCTGACAGGATGGTTATTTGTTATATACAGGTGCAGGCAAATGGCAGCCTCTGCACCAAATGTTGGTAACTGACATGCATGCAGCAAGATTGTGAAGTTAAAGTAGCAACTGAGTTGATGTACTACAGATTATAAATCTTGTGTGACTTCAGATGTGGAGGCACATCCACGTGGTTTAACCTGGGTGTCTGAGTGTCACTTTGGAATCTTTTCTACTTCCGGATAGTTTCCAGTATTCTGGAGTGGCAGGCTCTGCAAAGGGATGGAAAGTTAGAACGTGGAGTAGGCCTCTAACTTTGAAAGCTGTTAATTAAAGCAAGGTGATACGGTGTTAATGTTCCGAGAATGGCTTGTCCTGCCTGTAATCCTCCTCAGAATTTGGCCTTTTAATAGGAAGTAACGTGAAGAGGTGGCCCCCCGGAACAGACCTTTATTGTAGACTTTGGAACATCCATCCGGTAGGTTATGGAACACAAGGCTTTAGGGGTTCAGCTACCAAGACATAGAAGGCCAGACTTGGAAAGTCACTTAGCTGTGGTCGTAATGCTCTTGTAAGGCAGTAGCTGGGTACCTTCAAGTGTCTTGTTTGCCTCTATGACTTTGCACAAATACAGCGAATCTTTGGCTATGAGCCCGCATGCCCTAACAGAGGCACTGCACAGCGGCACAAGGCAGTAAGCAAAGCTGACCGTCACCAGAGTGCCTGGAACCCTGTCTACCTAGGCACTTTTCTTACAGGGAGGGCCGCAGGAGCACAAGGTGGGTAATCTGCTTAACCCTCTGCCACACCGTCTGCCCCTCCCGCTCTCAATTTCCTCATCTGTAACGGCCAGTTGTGCGGTCTCTCTGATCTGTTTGGCCTGGGCTGAGAAAACTGGGTTGCAGGTACTAGGCCAGGTCCTTCGCTTCTCTGAGCCTCAGTTTCCCCATTTTTAGGAAAGAGGTAATAACGGTCCTTGTCTTCTCCTGGTTGTTCTGAGGCGTGAACAAGATAGCATGGCAGAAGCACTCCAGCAAACTTATCAAGGCCAGGCAGGGCTCTCCTGCTCCTCTGGGCCTCCTACCGGCCGCAGGAAGAAGGCCGGTTAGGAGGAGGGCCCCATCTCTTCCTGGTTCTGTGGCCCCCATGGATACTCCCCACCTTCCACCGGGATCCCCACAAGGTGGTCGGGGCTCGCGTGAACATCCCACGCATGCAGAAGCGGCCTCGCGGCTGGCTCAGGGCACCGAGCAGTTTCCGCGCGGAGTGGCCGGGGGCGCGCGCGCGAGGGGCCGCGCCGAGCCGGGATTGGCCACCGCGCGCCCTCGCGCCCGCCCCGCAGGCGCCTGGCAGCGCCGCCCCTGCCCGCGCCGTCCCCGGCCTCGCTCCGGGCCCCGGCTGCGGCGCGCGCGGGCGCCCGGCCTGCTGCGGGCCATGGGCGAAGCGGGCGCCGTGGGGCGCCGCCGGCCCTTTCCCGGGGCGCCGCGGCGACGCTGGTGGCGGCGGCAACAGCAGCAGCAGCGGCGGCGGCAGCGCTGGTGGCCGGGCCGCGGCGAGGGCGAGGGCGCCGGCCGCGCCGCCATGGGCCTAGCTGGGCTGCAGGTGGGTGTGTCGGGCCCGGGTGCGCGGGCTGGGGCGGGCGCAGGGGCCCCCAGGCCGGGCCGGGTGGGAGGGCGCCGCGGCGAGGGCTCGGGTCCCGGGACGGCGCAGCCGGGCCCCCTGCGTGCGGGCTTGGAGACATGGCTGCGGCGGGCCCCGCGGTCCCGCTGCCCTCGCCGCCGCGCCCTGAGCGCCCCTCCCCCGCTTCCCCCGGGTCCCCCCTCTCCAGGCAGGAAGATGTGCAAGCCCCGCGCGGTGGAGGCGGCAGCGGCGGCAGTGGCGGCGGCGACGGCCCCGGGCCCGGACATGGTGGAGCAGAGGGGCCCGGGGAGGCCCCGCAGCGACGGGGTAAGCAGGCTCCCTCCCCGCACTGAGCAGCGCCAACCGGGCCCGGGCCTCGCGCACGTGGGCGCAGCGGGGGCCCCCCCATCGGCGCTCGCCGGTGGGACCGGCTTGGGGCAGCTTCCTTATCTACTGCCTGGCCAGGAGTGGCGGTCCTGCTCCAACGTGACCCTGGCAGTGGCTGACCTCGAAAAGTTTGACTGTGGCCTTGTGGTGTTTTCGGCTCCTCCCGAGACCTAGGGTTCCGGGAGGTGGCTGCCTTCCCAAGGGCGTGGAGGGCCTGCTTTCGTCCCTCAAGACTTAGCAGAGGGTCTGCTTTGGTAGTTAGTGGCTTACCAGGCAGCCAGGCCCTGCATTGTTTCTGGGAGAACCCTCCTGTGTGTGGTCACTCCAGTCAAAGCCCCACAGACACCCGAGTGACCGACCTGTCCTGACCCTCCCCCGCCTGAGCCTGTCCCAGTGTTAGCCAAGGTGTGGTTTGCAGTGGAGTGACCGCCCTAAATGCGCTGGCCCAGAGCCTGAGCTCTCATTGGCCTACCCCATCACTCAGCCACAGTACTGGGAGGCGCTGAGCTGCAGTGGCTTGAGAGGGGCCAGGCCTGGCGCAGAAGGTTCAGGCTGTGCACAAGTCCTCCCAGCTGGCCTCAGCACCAAGTGGCTAATCAGGTTCCCTTAGGCCTGTTTCTATGTTGGTGGCTGACTTCCTAGCCTAGGGAGTTAACCCCTGACTCAGCCCAGCCCTTCAGATCCGGAGTCCGTTTTTCCCTGGGTCATTCTGACCTCCCTGCTGCTGGTAGGTTTGCTCTTTCTTTAAACGGACTGGACCTTCGTGTACCGTCTTGTCCTCTGCTGACCAGACTTCCTTTAGGTACCAGATTTAGAGAGTACATGTGCTCGGGAACCTGGGGCCAGGACAGCAGATCAGCCCCTGCTCTCCTTTGAGAGCTCTCCAGGGCCTGGCATCTCAGGGTTGGTCTGTCCTAGAATGGTGATGACATCTGTCTTTTGTATTCTTCTGTTCCCTTCGAATGCTGTGAGATTGTCATTGTATTCAAGCCTCTTTGAGAATATGTGTTTGTCTTTTTAGGAGAACGTGTTTGCTGGGCAGTCAAAGATCTATGCCTACATGAGTCCGAACAAATGCTCTGGAATGCGCTCACCTCTTCAGGAAGAGAACTCGGTTACACATCACGAGGTCAAATGCCAGGGGAAACCATTAGCTGGAATCTACAGGAAGCGAGAAGGTAAGCCCTGAAATGGCCCCTTTCTGCCTTCAGCTGCTCGGCTCCCACACACCTTCCCAGGGCCAGGTGTGACAGTGACATTAACCATGTTCCTTCTCAGTAGTGAGAAGCAAACACAGGAGGAAAAGAGTAAGATGTGTCAGGGTGTGTGTCCTGTGGTCTGACAGGTTTTTCCAACCTTGACAAGAGTTAACATATCCTTCAGGCGTGTCGTGCCACATTGCAAAAACAAGGCCTGCGATTTTAGAGGCTTGTGATTGTTAAGAATGCAGGGAAAGCAAGTCCAGGTTGTGCAGAGCAGGCGACTGCAGTGTGATGTGAACTCGGGATCGGCTAACTTACCTTGTACGGCAGGTCCTGACCCCATTTCTACAGTGTCTTTCCATTCGAGTGTTCTGTATTACTTTCCAAAGCAGCATGCACCGTGTGTGAGATCTGGAGTTAAATATTGAATGGAGGCTGGTAGCAGGGCTCAGTGGTGAAGTACTTATCTAGCATGTGAGACCCTGGATTTGATCCCAAGCACTTTACAAAAAAAGGAAAAAGGAGTGGAGAGATGGAAGCAGAGTCAGGATTGCAGTGATTTCAAAGCCTGGCCCATGGTATGAGACTTTCTCCCACCCCACTGCCTACCCAGATAAGTAGGACTGAGATGTAGCTCAGTGCTGTAATGCTTGCCTAGCAATGTGAGGCCCTAGGCTCAACTCCTAACACCACAAAAATAAAATTGCCCTATGAACAAGGTGAACCCCCCCAAGAGTCTTGCTTTCTTCCAGAGAGTCCCTTTTAAAGCTCTAGTGGGGGGAGTCTGAGGCTCCTGTCCACCCCCACACCTCATTCCTGACATGATTTCTGCCAGACAGAAGTGGCTTTATAGGAGAAAGCTATGTATTCCCTAACAAACATGCTCAGAAGTGCTATAGTCCAAGATCTAGGGCTATGTTTGAGAACTAATGTGGTGGAGCCCTATGCCTGTGGCAGGGGCCGGCCCTCAGCTTCACACACACACACACACACACACCACCAATGCACAGGGCTATGTTGTCTGAATCAGTCTCAAAATAGCTTAAGTTCTAACTGTAACTGCCACTTGGAAGGGAGGAGGAGGCTTGGGCAAGCTGCAGCTCTTTTGTGAGCCCCAAATGTCCTATCTGTCAGTTGGGTTCTTTGGGGGAGTTAGTTACAGCATGTGTGTAGACTTGCCTTTGATGTTGCGGCTGCCAGCTCAGCCTCACTGCAATCACCACATCTTTTTACACGCTTGTGCCTGCAGCTATTAGGAGGGCATCCATCACCCAGGCGTAGGCAAAGGGTTCTGTCTTAGTCCGGAGCCGCCTTGCATCTCTTCCAAAATTGAGCAGAGTGAATACTCTCCTTATGGTGATGGAGGCTCACAAGCCTAGTGCTGCTAAGTGGCAGTCATTAGAATTTGGGGTCACATGTACATTGGAGTTTCTGAGAAAGACCAGGCTCCCACGCAGAGGTTCTGTGGTACAGACACATGTCACAAGTGGTAACGGACACTGTGTACTCTCAGGGTTATACCTGCTTCCTGTCAAGAAGGGATCATGGAAGGGGGTGGGACTGATCTGGACTGGGTTTTGTTCTAATTACATTTATTCGTTTTGTATGTGTGCATGCATGTGGGTGGATGCTTCTGTGCCTCTGTGTCCATGTGGGTTTCAGAGGAACCCTCACAGGAGTCAGTTTTCTCCTTCTACCATGAAGGTCCTGAGGATCAAATTCAGGTAAATAGGCTTTCTGTCACGTGCATTTGCCTACTAAGCTGTCTCATACCCTACCCGCTCCACTGCCCCTTCCTAAACTTTTTTATGTCTGTGCTGGGATCTGAACTCAGCCTCATGCCTATATGTGACAGTCACTTTACGGACTAAGCCATCTATCTCCCTGGGTCCCCACATCCAGCTTCCTGGATACTTTCGATGCATTTCTTTTTCCTCTTTTGTTTAATGAGCTATAATTCATCTATCAAAGTTTATTTGCTTATTTTGTAGAGATGGGGGTAGAACACAGAGACTTTGGGCATATAGGCAAGTGCTCTACCACTGGGCTACATCCTAACCCTAGTCTCATCCTGTCCCCTCCCCCCAAGACAAGATCCATCACTCAGGCTAGCCTCAAACTTCCCATGCAGCTAAGAATGGCTTTGAACTTGTATTCTACCTCCACCTCCCATGTGTGCTGGGATTACAGGCGTGTCCTACCATGCTGGGTTTTACTCTTATCTAGTTAGCTACAGCCTCAGCTCCAAAGTGTGCAGTTGAGTAGTTTTTAGTGTCTGCAGAGTTACACAACCGCTACATCTAAGTCCAGAACATTTTCATCATGACACAAAGAACTTACTTACCCATTTAAGACTTATTTTGCTGTCGGCAGTGGTGGCACATGCCTTTAAATCCCAGCACTCTAGAGGCAGAGGCAGGCCTGATGTACAGAGCTAGTTCCCGGATAGCCAGAGCTACACAGAGAAACCCTATCTCGAAAAAACAAACATGACTTACTTTACATCCCTCCCCCACCCCTAGGCAGCTCTGAAACTTCTTTCTGGGTCCACAGTTGCCTGTTGTAGACATTTCATGCAAATGAAGTCATAGGATATGTAGCCTTTTGTGTCTGGCCTTTTCACTCAGCATCATGTTTTCCGAAGTCTATCCATGTTGTATGTAGTGTGTGTGAGTGTGTGTGTGTGTGAACATTTCATGCCTTTTTATTGCTGAATCATAATCATTTTCCGTGTGTGGACAGATCACATTTTGTTTAACTATTCATCCTCTGATGGGCACTTGGGTTGTTTGCCTTTCTGATTAGTGTACATTGGCCACCTCATTTCACATACAGAGTTTTGTGTGGACATGTGTTTTTAATCATCTTGAGTAGATGTCTGAGTGTAGAGTTGCTGGGTCATGTGGTAATTATATGTTTAATTTTGTGAGGAAACTGCCAAACCATTTTCCAAAATTGCTGTGCCATCTCATATCTCTGGTTGGTATATTAGTTATTCTAAAAAGTAAACTATTATTAGATCCATTTTTAAAAACAGCATAGTTCACCAGCACAGGGCTTGCTTGCACAAAGTTACCAGTAATATCTGTAAGGCCATTGGATGTGTGCCTCATGACAAGATTCATGCCAGTCTGCCCAGGTGCCATCCTGAGAGCCTCTGGGAGCTTCAACCTTTTTAGGAGGAGAGCTTGTTTGACTAAGAACCTGAAGACAGTGAGTGGGGAAAAGAGTCTGGGGTCTGTCCCCTCACTCCATCTGATGGGCAATCAGGTCCCAGCTAGCCGGCTGTTGCTTTAAGAATAGAGCTTATTTCCTCGGTTCTGCAGCCCAGTGTCTAAAAGCTGCTGGCTGAGCACTCAGGCCAGCATGATCACCCACAGAATTTCACATGCTCTCCTGTGTCCACATACAAAGGATCACTTCCTCTTCCAGTGTTTCAGCCACAACAGAGATCCAAGTACTGTCTTCATGACACTCCCACGATGCTGTCCTTAGCCTGTCTTAGAACACAGGTGGTACCAGTCCATAGAGTAAACCCCTGTCCCCCACCCAACCCCTGCTGCAGAGAAAAGAAACACTGGGAATACGATCCGAAGCTCTGTGAAGTCTGATGAACAGAAGATCAAAGACGCCAGGAGAGGTCCCCTGGCACCTTCTCCAAACCAAAAATCTGAAGCAGCAGAACCTCCAAAAACTCCACCCCAGTCATGTGATCCTACGAATACAGTGGTTGCCAAGCAGGCCCTAAAAAAGCCCCTCAAGGGCAAGCAGGCCCCTCGGAAAAAGTAAGTATCCCAGAGCCCTCTTCTAACATGGGCATTTGGTCCTGTGGCCTAGCTCTGGAGGCCATTGTGGTTTAGTAGTCCGCACTGCTAGGCCTCTGTTCCCTGAGTCATCACAGCTCCTGGTGTTTCCATCTATTCTGTGTGAAGAGTCCAGAGGTCAAGGCCTCCCTCCTTGGCTTTTCCCCAGAGAGAGGAATGATGAGTTGTCCTTGAAACCGGGGCCCACCTGGGTAGGTGAGCAGATGGGCAATCAGATCCCAGTGCACATAGGTGTTTGAGCAACACTTACAGGGCATTGCCTCCTGGTTCTGTGCAAGAAGTGGGCCTTATTTTCTTTCCTCCCCTCTCACCCAGGTCTCAAGGGAAAACACAGCAGAATAGAAAACTGACAGATTTCTACCCGGTGCGAAGGAGCTCTAGGAAGAGCAAAGCTGAATTGCAGGTAGGGTCTGGTCAGCTGCAGCTGGGAGGAAGGTGGTGGCCTGTGGGTTTTATTTAACTTGTGTAGTTGGAGCCTGGGGTGTGTCTTTGTTCTTCCCCTAGCAGATATCTCCCTCGCTCCCTCTGTCTCCCTCGTGGAGCAGGAGGCTTGCTTAAGACCCTTCTGGGGAGCTCTGGAACCTATACCTCATGGCACAGAAAACCAGATTGGCTTTTCCAGGGTGTGTTGGCAGGGGTTTTGAACCCAGGATCGTGTGGGGGGGGGGGAGCTGCCTATTCTTTCAGGAGCTTTTTTTGTCTGTCATCTAGAAATTTCTAAAGAACAGTAGCTTGGAAGTACTTACTGATTGCTGAGTTTAAGCCAGACACCTTGGTGTAGTACACTCTCCTGTCTGTAAAATAGGACAGTGAAGGCCAGGCATGAGGACTCACACCAGTAATTCCAATATTCAGTGCAGAGTTGGGAGAACTGATCTAAGTTCACATGAGAGCAGCCTGGTCTGTACAGCAAGTTCCAGGCCAGGCTGTGCTTGCTGCATAGCAAGAGCCTGCCTCAAAAAGAAAAATTGTTGCTAGTGAGTTGTTGTAAAGATTAAAGAAATAGATTTGTAATAGATGTGGTGTGTGGATCCCAACACTCGGGAGAACTCTGGTTTGAGTTTACTGTTGGTTACATAGTAAAATCCTGTCTCAAAGGACAATGCACAAATAAAATGGCTTCCTGGAGCTAGGCATGTAGCTCTGTTGGAGTCTTTGTTTAGCATGCTTTTGGAAGTCCATGATTTCCATCTCTAGAACTTTATAAACTGGAGATGATGGCTCTTGTCTATAATCCCAGTGCTGAGGAATTGAAATATCAAGAGTTCAAGGCAACGAGGGGTGTGGTAGTGCATGCCTTTAATCCCAGCACTCTTCAGTTTGTGGCCAGCCCAGTCTGCGTAGTGAGTTCCTGATAACCAGGGCTACATAGAGAAACCCATCTCAAACAAGTACAAGGCAAGGTTACATAAAGAACCTGAGGTCAGCCTAGGCTATGTGAGACCCTTTTCTTGTATGATGATGTGGGAGTGTAAATGGCAATTAGATGAGTCACACACACCCTTGTTTCCTAGTATGGTCAGTTCCTGGGTATCCTGTCTGCCTATTTCCAGCTCACCGTCAAGTAGCTTGTAGGCAGGAAGATAGCCAGCCCATATGGTTCCACACCTGTGTGTATAGTACCCAGTACAGCAGTTTGTCAATATTTGGTGCAGTGGGGTGTGGTTATTGCTTTTTTAATCTGAACCCCCCAGGGTATGGCCAGATGCCTCCTTGCTCCCACACGGGGAGTCAGGGTCAACCCCTCACTCTGCTGCAGCTCTTTCTAACTCTGAAAGCTCCAGGTCTCTGCACGGGGAAGAGGGCACTGGTCCAGGCAGTTCAGTCATTTCTTTCCTGCACCAGAGATGGCAGATTCGCAGGTGGAGCTACAGAGCTCGGCCATCTTCTCTTTTATTTAATTGATCAGTTTTACTTAAAATACAAGCCCAAGGTGGGGTGGTCTACTTCTCCACGTCCCCAATAGCTTTGGCTTCACTTCTTGTGGAAGGCAGTGGTTTGGGCCAAGAAAGAGCTGTTATAAACGCCGGCCAACAGTGGGAGGCTGTGCTGGGTCACTCTCAAAGGCAGCACTGCAGAGTGGAGGTGGTGCCAGGCCACAAGAGCCCAGAGCTCCTCCCAGCCAGGCAGGGACCATTCAGGCCCCACAGAGGGACAGGACCCTGCTGGGTTGGGGCAGCTGAGGCTGTGTGCTAAAGCAAAGCTGGGTTCTTGTGCCTGGAGGACAGAAGGCTGCAGAGGGACTCGTGTGGCTGCAGGTCACCTACTTCTGCCGCAGATAAGCTGCGGGCAGGGAAAGTATGCCCTGTTATTAGACCAGGAACCAGCATGAGCAAGAGCCATGCTGTGCCCCTCGCTGTTTATCTTGGCACTGTTGAAAGAGCACTATGCCCCTGCTGCTGGCTCAGGCAGTGAAGTGACAGCTGCCCCGCACAATGTGGATGTGACTGTTACTGGCAGGGTCTGTTCTCCTGACTGCAGGGAAAGCTGGTGGGGCATAACAGCTGGGCCTCTTCATAACCTGATTGGCTAGGCTGGGGGCTGAGTTGGTGGGCCAAGAGACACTGTACTTGGCCAAGTGGCCAAGAGTGAAATCAAAGCGCCAAGTTCTGGAGCACCTCATGGAGTTGAAGAAAAAGCTGGCTGGGCAAAGCCAGGACCAGAGTTCAGAGCAGGAGGAAGGGATTTGGGCTATAGGGTTTGAGCACAGAGCAGGCCATAGAGAGATGCCCTCCGCCCGCCAGCCGGCCAGCCTGCCTGCTCATTGGTGGGTGGCAACCACACTGTAGTAAGAACTGTGACTATTGCCAGTATCTTGGCTTCCTTCTCCCTTCTGATACCTCCCTTCTTCCATTCCACCTTCACTCAGGCCTTTTCTAACCCCATTTCCTTCTGGCCTGTTTTGGTTGTGCCTAAGTTATCCCTGAGCAACCCAGGACTGGCTTTAGGCAAGCTCCAAACTCCTGGCCCACCTACTCAGCTCAGTTCCTCCAAAGCCATATTCAGCCCAGCAGGAAAATCCCCAGGGACCCACCTGGGTTATCCATGCCTCTTCCAACTGTCATCCTTACTCTCTACACTGGGATGATTAACTGCCATAAGGTGTGTGTCTGTCCAGAACTCACTCCTGACCTCTGCCCTGCTGGGACCGAAGAGCAGCTCTAGAGCCCTGTGTCCTTGCACAGAGCCCTAGGTGCAGTCACCAGGATTGCCAGGAAGACAGCTAACCTTGCATGCCTTTGTATTACCTTAGTGAGCTAGACTGGTGTCAAGGGTGGTGAGTCTAAGGTTCCTTTGCCCTAGGAGTCTGCATTTTCTCTGGAAAGGAGTCTTGACACTAGAGCAAAGGAGGAAACATACAGGAAGATGGATGAGGGAAAAGGTCACTCTAGGCAGGAAGGGCAGCTGCTCAAAGGTCTAGAGCCTGGAGACGTGGCTTTCTGGAAGAGCCGGCTTTGTAGCTGGTGGAGGGGGTAGATGAGACAGAGGGGGAAGGTGAGATGGTGAGGCCTGTACCTTGTACATAAGATACATAATAAAAAGTCTGGGCTTAGGCAGGCAGATCTGTTCGAGTTCCAGGCCAGTCTGGTCTACAGAGCTACACACACAAACCCTGTCTCGAAAAATTAAAAAAAAAAAAAAAAAAGATCTGGCATAGTGATTCAAGTCTTTAATCCCAGCACTCAGGAGGCAGAGGCAGAGGCAGGTGGCTCTCCGTGAGTTCCAGGCTTTGTAGACCAGGCTAGCCTTGAACTCAGAGAAATCCTCCTTCCTCTGTCTTGCACATGCTGGGGTTAAAGGTGTTGCACCAGCACCTCCTGACTGATAATGTATTTTCAAAAGACTCCTCTGATTCTAAGTAAAGAATGGAGTTTGGGGACTGGACAGATGGTTCATTGGTTAAGAGCACTGAGTTCTCTTCCAGAGGACCCTGGTTCAATTCTCAGCACCCACATAACAATTCATGGCTGTAATTCCAGTTCCAGGGAACCTAACACCAACAGTTACACCAATACACATTTTTAAATAAAAAAGAATGGAGTTTGAGGCTGGAGAGACTGGAGAGACAGCTCAGCCAGAGGTCCCAAGTTCAATTTCCAGCAGCTGCATGGTGGCTCACATCTATTTATAATGAAATCTGGTGCCACCTTCTGGCCTGCAGGTATACCCAGATACTCATAAAATACAGAGGTAGAGTGGAAGCCTTGAAACTTTCAGGGAAGTGGCTGTCACCTGTCACCCAGTCTCAATCACTCATCAGTGTCTCCACGCACCTTGGGGCCTGTCAGTGTATGTGTGAACTGAATGACTGGCAGACTGGACCCTGGTCCCAGGCTCTGTCTAGCAAGGGTGTACATTCAGCAGGTGGCAAGGCCCCCGTAGATGCCATCTGCCTCAAGCTGGTGAGCCAAAGTGATTTGGGACATCTGGTGCGTCTATAGCTCCCTCTTGTTCCCTAGCATCTTGTATAAGGAAAGGGACAGTGGGGTCCAGGGTGCGATGGGGTAGGAGCAGAGGAAATTGTACCATGGGAGTGTCCTAGCTTCTCTGTTCCTTGCTGCATTGTCCCACTAGTTAGGAGGCACAGACACAGCTCAGAGATCTGAACACAGGCCTCCAAGGGAAGAATCGGGCAGCTAGGACACAATGGAGGCAGATGTGTCCTGTTTACAGGTGTACCTGTAATCTGCCCTGATGATTCATCTGTTTATTTGGTGGTGCTAGGCATTAAATAAAGCCACATGCTGAGCAGGCATCTCCTCAGTTCCTGCCCACTTTCTTTTTTATTTTTGTTTGCTTTTTGCAACATGCTTTCTTTGTTTAGCCCTGGCTGTTGGAACTGTCCTGGAACTCACTCTGTAGACCAGGCTGGCCTCTAACTCACCAGAGAGCCACCCGACTCTTACCTAGTGAGTCCTGGGATTAAAGGTGTATACCACCAGATTATCCTGTGCTGGCCCAGAACTTCCTATGTAACCCAGGTTATCCTCAAATGTGTGGAAGTCCTGCCTCAACCTCCTGAGTAGCTAGGATTATGGACATAGGCCACTATGCCCAGTTCATGGGTGATGGTAATTTTATTTTATTTATTTTTTGTTTTTCAAGATAGGGTTTCTCTGTAGCTTTGGAGCCTGTCCTGGAACTAGCTCTTGTTGACCAGGCTGGTCTGGAACTCACAGACATCCTCCTGCCTCTGTCCCGAGTACTGGGATTAAAGGCATGCACCACCACCGCCCAGCTGTGATGGTGACTTTAAATTAAGTCAGAATCCCAGTTTTCTGTTTACTTATTTACTTGGATTGATGAGCGGCATTAGTGTGGCATGGTTTGGATGTGGTGGTCAGAGAGGCCAACTTTAAGGGAATTGGTTCCCTCCTCCTACTGTGTGGGTTCCGGGGATCAAATTCAGATGGTCAGGATTGGCAGCGAATGCCTTTGCCCATTGAACCATCTTGCCAGCTCTAGAGTCCTGACTTTTAGATCCTGGTGAATTAATATTCTTTAATAGTACTATACAGGACAAACAGCATGTTTAAGGCTCTGTAACAAAGACATGAAGCAATAAAGATTTATTCTCTGTTACTGTTTGAAAGGTTTCAGTCCATGAACTGACCCTGTTGTATTGGGTACAAATCATATTATGGAGGAGGAGCACATGGGACTGAAACCACTTGCCTCGTTGCTGAAAATGAGACAATAGGCAGGAACTCCACTGTTCCACACAGGTCACATTCCCAGTAACCCTACTAGGTTCCTCCTCTTAATGGTTTTAGCACCTCCCTATAGCACTGAAGGACATACCATGCATTTCTCACAAGGACCTTTGGAAAACACTTAAGATCCAGACTAGCCACGTATGGTAATGTCCACATATAATCCCACACTCTGGAGCCTGGGAGTTACAGAATGATTCCCTCGTCTCAGAAACCAACAGAAACAAAGGCTTAAAGCATAATGGGACAGAGCTGTGTTCTTCCTATCCCAGAGGAACTAGATGATGGATTGCTCCTTGCAGATGGGTGAGGAGAGGTATGCTCAGATCTCTGCCATCAAAGGTTGGCCATAGCATTGTAAGTGAATGCTAACACTGTTCATTTCCTCTCCACCCAGTCTGAAGAAAGGAAAAAAATTGATGAGCTGATTGAGAGCGGGAAGGAAGAAGGCATGAAGGTAAGCCCACAAAGTCATTGCACTATGGTGATGACCTCGCCACCCAGCACATGGCTGGGAACATCCACAAGGCTGCCTTGACTACACGTGGTCACTGGCAGTCCCGCCCCTTTAGGTGTTAAAGAACCACACACAAAAGCTTTTGTGAAGCAAGCATGTCAGGAAGGGTTCACAGAGGCATCATCTGCTTAATTGTGATGAGATGTCCATGGTGGAACATCTACTGTAATGGGTGTCTGTACACTATACCTGGAGTTGCATGGTGGGTGGTTGTGGTCCACCATGTGGATGCTGAGAATTGGTCCCAGGTTCTATGCAAGAATAAGTGCTCTTAATCCCTGTGCTATCACTCAGCCCCATTTTTAAATGTAATATTTACAAGAATTTATTTTTATTGTGTGTGTGTGTCTTCCTGTTTTACAAAAATGGGGTGGGGTTGCCCATGGAGGCCAGAAGAGGGTGTCAGAAATCTTGGAGTTACAAGTGGTTGTAAAGCTGCCGATATAATATGGTGGTGTGGGTGCTGGGAACTGAATTGGGTCCTCTGCAAGAGCAACAAGTGCTCTTGACTGTTGAGCCGTCTCTCCAGCCCCTGGATGAGCTTTTTTGGTTTGTTTGTTGTGTTTTAAACAGGGTCTCTCTCACTAACTGGCTATGAAAAAGAAAGGTACAGTGGGATGTGGCAGAGGCCGCCCTCCCAGCTAAGTAGCTGAGGTAGGGCAGTGGTAAGATCATAAGATCAAGTCTTGTTTAAGCTATGGAGTCAGTCCAATAGTTTGGTGATAGAATGCTTTCTAGCACGGTCAAAGCCCTGCATTCACCCCTAAAGAAAGAAAGCAACAAACAAAAGATGAAGAGACGATTAAGTTTATCCTAGACTGTTTTCCCCATGGCAAGGTATAAGGCACTTGCTTTTCTCCTGATGGGTTTTGTTTTGTGTTGGTGCTGGGGACTGAACCCAGCCAGCCCTGTGCATGCTAAGCATGTGCCACATGACAGAGCCACACTCAGACTCTCAGTGTGTTCTATACACGAGTGGTTTGGGTGAGGGGAAGTAGCTCTCCAGGGTGTGGTGGCAGGGGGATCTGGCCTAGGAGTCAAGGGTGGAAAAACTTCCCTTTTCACTTATAACCTAGACTCTCAAACTTAGTCCTGGGCCCTTGAGCAGCCATCAGTTCTGTCACTCCATTTGTACCAAGTGTGAGAAGCACCAGAGGTATTGATGGATCACGGGAGGTTCAGGCCGCTGGGCCTTTCTCCTCCCCTGACAAGCAGAGAACCTCATGGACCAGAGCCCCCAATATCACCATTTGCGAGGTGTGGTCTTGGGCACATGAGTCTGCCTTTCCTTCCAAGTCTCATTTTTCTCATCTCCAAAAAATGGTGTTTTGCCCACTTAGCAGATTTCGGCTGACATGTACTTTGTAAGGGATATAAAGGAGCTCTTTTATATGCTAGGATGGGAATGACCTGAAGCTAGACCTGGTACTTTTAGTAAACCCCGTTAAGCCATCTGCATAGTGTGGCTAGGTTTTGTTTTTATTATTGTTGCTTTTTGTTGTTGTTTTGTTTTTCTGGACAGCGTTTCTCTGTTTAACAGCCCTGGCTGTTCGGGAACTTGTTCTATAGACTGGGCTGGACTCCAGCTCACAGAGATCTGCCTGCCTCTGCCTCTTGAGTGCTGGGGTCTTATTTTTATTGAAGCCCATCCAGTAAAGTTGGTTTTAAAATGTATTCCAAGCTCCATGATAGACACCATGCCTGGTGACAACTGTCACATTTATGACCTCAGCTGTCTTGTCACCTCCTGACAGATTGATCTCATTGATGGAAAAGGCAGGGGTGTGATTGCCACCAAGCACTTCTCCCGGGGAGACTTTGTGGTAGAATACCATGGGGATCTTATTGAAATCACCGATGCCAAGAAGCGGGAGGCTCTGTATGCACAAGACCCCTCCACAGGCTGCTACATGTACTATTTTCAATATCTGAGCAAAACCTACTGGTAAGTACACTATGAGTGGAGGACAGGCAGAGCTGGGTGGCCTGGACCACTCCTGAGTCCTTGATCGGTTCCCTTACTTGTTAGGATTGGCTCAGATCTCGCTATGTAGCCCTAGCTGGCCTCAAATTCATCAGCCTCCTGCCTCAGCCTCCTGAGTGCTAGGATCGCAACCATGAAGCGGCATGTCCAGTGATATGGTTTCCTTTCACCTCTCCAGTTAGTTTTTGGGATTGGAGTTGTCCTTAGGCGGGAGGGGACTTGTCCCCTGGAAACCTGCTAGGCAGCTCCCAAGGCCTCTCTCCCTCTGGGCATTTGCCCCAGCACCTCTGCAGAACAGTCATTGCTCCTTCCTGGCCAAGGTCAGAGGAGCTGATCTTTATCCATTTATGTATTTCGAAACACTACACATCACATACCTCAGCTCCATACAGAGTTCTTTGGGTTCTGTCTTCAAGCTCTCTATGCAGAACTCTCTGTACTCTCCAAAGTAGCCTTTGGAATTAACCTGCCTCCAAATGAGGCTGCCAGTCCGCATCCCACCAGGTTCTCATGGAACAAGATCCCAGCAAGATTAAAAGCCTCTTTATCAGTGTAATCCCTCTCGCTCTCCCACCACACCAGCGTGGATGCCACTCGAGAAACAAACCGCCTGGGGAGGCTGATCAACCACAGTAAGTGTGGGAATTGCCAGACCAAACTGCATGACATCGATGGCGTGCCTCACCTCATCCTCATCGCCTCCCGAGACATTGCAGCTGGGGAGGAGCTCCTGTATGACTATGGCGACCGCAGCAAGGCCTCCATCGAAGCCTACCCTTGGCTGAAGCATTAACCATGTGGCCTCCCTGCCACACTGCCTCCTTCAAAGGACAAAGTGCCCTCAAAGGGAAATGATTTTTTTTTTTACACACTCTTAGCTAATTACTTCAAATGTTTTTAAAAAGTATATTAAAGATGCCTTTTCATGTAGTATTTAAATATCTGTTACAGGTTTCCAAGGTGGACTTGAACAGATGGCCTTATATTACCAAAACTTTTATATTCTAGTTGTTTTTGTACCTTTTTGCATACAAGCTGAACGTTTGTGCTTCCCGCGCAGTCTAGGACTTGGCACAGGTTTTAGAGAATGGAGTCGAACATGAACTAGGAAGCTGGGCTCTGCCCAGGATGAAAGCCAGGACTCCCCCACACCCCACGTCCAAGGACAGGCGGGTGTGAGGGTGCTGCCGCTCCCCACACAGCCTGGACGGGATGTCTCCAAGCTCTTGCTCTCCTCAGCGTCTTGACAGGCATACACATTGACGTGTATGAATATTTTTTACAAAGGTTTCGCAGTAAGCTAGTCTTCCCCTCTGCTTTCTCCAAAGCTCACTGAGCCCGGGGCTTGGAGGCCCTGCCGGGAACAGACCTCTTCACAGGCTTTTGGCTTTTCCAGGCACCTCGAAGCTTCAGGGTGGGCAGTCAGACTAGAGGCAGGCCGGGAAAAGCACTGTTCTCCTGCCCCAGTGGGGCAGGTCTCCTGAAACTGCATTAATTCTTTATAGAAATGTGAACACTGAATTTATTTTAAAAAAAAATAATAAAAATACAAAACATTTAAAAAAAAAAAAGAAAAAAAATGGAAAAAAAACCACAGAAAACAACTTATATGTATATAGGTTTTGAAGGGAGTGAAATGATTGGGTTTTTTTGTTTGTTTGTTTGTTTTTGTTTTTCTTTCTGGGGTTCCTTTATTTTTATCTTTTTTATGTTTTTGGCTTGGCTGGCTGATTTGTGTAGAGGTTTTTGAGATGGTACTTTATTCTAATCAAAAGTAAGATTTTTGTAGTGGGACCAGAAATTACTAAACCCATACCCCACCACCTACTCCACCCACATCCCTGAATCTGTTGTGTGGAAAGTTCTCTACCTGCTGTGTATCACGTGAAGATGCTGGCAGCCAGAGGACCAGGATGATAGTTCTTACCTGTGATAGAGTTAGGTGGCTTTCTTCCTGGGAAGGACTAAATTCTCGCCATTCACCTTCAGTCTAGGGGCTGGGGATTTGGAGCCAGGTATGAGAACCTACCCTTGTCCCCAACACCTCCCCCTACCCCTCAGCCTCATGATGGTGCTACCTAAGAAAGTCTTCCCCACACCCCTTGCTAGCCTGCCTGGTCAGTGGTCAGACTTGGAGGAGGATCCGAAAGGAGGTTGTAACTGTGAGATAAAATGTCTTGGTTGTACCTGTTTGTGGCTTAGCTTTGTATTTAAATAGCAAACAAAAAAGGAAATAAACTTGAAAATTATTTGTCATCATAAAATAAAGCAAAAAAATTAAAATATTTATTGCCAGGCAAGGCCACCTATGTGTTGTTATGTGTTTTTATGAGATAGAGATAGACTAAAATAGGAGGGGATGGGGATGGCAGGCTCAACCTATAAAGGCTTTTCCCCCCTTGGTTTTTCAAGACATGATTTCTCTGTGTAGTCCTGGCTGTCCTGGAACTCACTGAGTTCTGCCTGCCTCTGCCTCCCCAGTCCTGGGATTAAAGGTGTATGCCAACATATCTGTCTTATAAAGGTTCTTGCCATCAAGCCTTACTACCTGAGTTCTGAGTTTAATTCATGTTACCCGCACATACAAGGTGAGAACCAGTCCCCATTATATTTTGAGCTTTATACATACTATGGTGTATAAAGAAATATAAAAAAAGACAGTGGTCTCTAATATCCAGCTGAGACTCAACTTTAAGGTTGTCCTAGAGTCAGAATTCAAGTGTGTATTTTGTTTTTGTTTTTCAAGATGGTTTCTCTGTGTAGCTTTGGAGCTTGTACTGGAACTTGCTGTGTAGTCCAGGCTGCCCTTACAGAGATCCTGCCTCTGCCTCCCAAGTGCTGGGATTAAAGGCATTTGCCACTAGCACCCAGTGATTTTTAGAATTTTTAACCTATATAAGAGGCAGGATCCAGGGAGCGGTGGGGAAGGTTCTTGTTATATGTGGAGCCTCTGGGTAATGACTAGCTTGTAGCAAGTGTGATTGCCATTATTATCTTTTTTTTTTGTTTTTGAGATAGGGTTTCTCTGTGACTTTGGAAGCTGTCCTGGAACTAGCTCTGTAGACCAGGCTGGCCGTGAACTCAGAGATCTGCCTGCTGAGTGCTGGGACTAAAGGCAGGCTCCACCACCACCTGGCTGCCATTATTCTCTTGAGACCTGTCCCAGGCTGCCCTGGAAATGCTATAATCAGGTATAACTTTGAACCTGATATTTATGCCTCCCATATCCCTAGTACTGGAATCTCAGGTGTGTATCCCCACAACAGCTCCATTGCCTGTCGTTTATCAAATTCAGATTTGACTTTATTTTCCATGATGGGGTTCCTCTGTAATATCCATGGCCCTGTCAGGAATTCAAGATCCACCTACCTCTGCCTCTACAGATACTGGGATTAGAGGCATGCACCACCATTTTTTGGCTGTAGATTTGACTCTTTTAAGAGCTGCATCTAGCCCAGTCACATGTTAAGTCAACTAGTTTTGTTATTTCAGTATTTGTGACCTTTTGGGAGTAGGTGGTTTAGAGATCACGTTTGTCATAAGGACAGCCTGCCCGTTACCCTCAATGGGTGTTGCAAAGACTTATCCATTGGGCGTTGTCACATTGTCCATTGTAGAGTATTCTGCAGCCTAGTGGTGACATGTCAGCTTCTTCCTGCCCAACACTGAAGTAGTAAGAGTACTAAGGGTAGATTTGATGCACTGATAATAAAAAGGTCCTTGGACTAGTGCTTTACACACGGTAATCAATGCAGATATCCTTAAGAGTAAAAATAGTTTCAAACTTCCCAATTGCTTGAGGCTGATAGCTAGTGAAGGCTTCCCAGTTCTGCTATTTTAAGCTTGACGTAGATGGCTCTCTGTGTAAAAAGTGTTAGCTGCCACCCTAATCCTACAACTAACTCATTGAGATTTCTATGAGTTCAAGTCCAGCTTGCTCTATATAGTTCCAGGTCAACCAGGGCTATCCAGCAGTAGCTATACAAAGCCTGATGACTCAGGTTCAATCTCTGAAACCCACACAGAAAGCTGGGTACGGGCACATGCCTCTGACCCCAGTATTCAATTGACAAAGGCAACGGGTCTCTGAGTTCCAAGCCAGCCAGGGCTACATAAGGAAGGGGGCTCTGTCAGAGAGATGGAAGCAGAGATTGAAGAATTCTCCAGAAGCGCCAGAGCCAGTGTTCCTAAAGCACAAAACGACTCTAAAATTGTCCTCTGAGGACTGGGAAAGTGGCTCAGCAGTTAAAAGCACCAACACTGTTCTTCCTGAGGATCCTGGTTCAGTTCCCAGCATCTACACAGCAACTCACCACAGCTTCTAACTCCAGTTCCAGGAGACTTGACACCTAATGCTTTGCTTGCTTCAGTAATAAATGAGAAGTGTTTTCCCCTAGTCTTGGGCTCAAAAGCCTGACCCCCTTTTAGTGAGATCTTTGGCATTTCCTTCCTTCAGTCTGCAGAGACTTAGTCTCTGGCCGACACCTCACTGAGGTCCCATGAAACACATGCCCCGTATGCCCGCAGGCATGTGCACCACCTTTAGTAGGAGGCCCCTCCGAAACAGTAATGGAAAGTATAAAGGTCATTTTACTTTAATACAAAAGGCATAAAAAGTTGTATGAGAAAAATCAAGTATCAGCGAAGTCAATTCCATATTTTCCCACTTTTCTGTGTCTCTTACACGTTAGTGAGCAGAGTATCTGAGCGGCCGGAACAGGCTGCAGGCCAGGGGCCTCTCTGTGTGGAGGCTGGATGTGGCCATGCTCTGTGCTCCTTTCCGGAGTTCTTGGTGTCTTGCCTGCCCTGGCATGGTGGCTGTCCAGGGCTGTCCCCAGTGAGCAGGTGAGCGCTGAGGACATCCTCTTTTGACTACTCTGAGCCAGCCCAGAGCAGATACATGTCACAGAAAGACAGTTCCAGAAGACAGCTAGGCAATTGTCTTCTCGAGTCAGAGGGTCACCACCTTGGCCATGGCCTTCAATCTAGGTATGCTTCCCTGACCGGAAAAAGAACCTGGGTAGAGAGAAAAAGGAAGAGAGAGCATGGGAGATCCACTCTGGCAGGCTTGGACTCTATCCATTCGGAAGCATGTGTGATGTTACAGTGAGTAAAGGCACCTGCCCCTGGGCGTGATCCCTGGGACCCACATGGTGGAAGAAGAACCCCTATTATAATTTGCTGTCTGACCTGCATGCATGTGCTGTGGCAATGGGCATCCACAAACCAAATAAATTAGAAATAAATTTGTGCCTGGTGGTAGTGGTACACAAATTTAATTAATCCCAGCACTGTGGAGGAAGAGGCACATGGGTTTCTGGGTTTGAGGCCAGCCTGGACTACAGAGCGAGTTGAGGACAATCTTGGCTATAAGACAAACCCTGTCTCAAAAAAACAAAAGCCTAATAAACCATCAAGACAGGTAAGTACACACACACACACACACACACACACACACACACACACACACACACACACACACACTTGTTGGCCCTGGTCCACTCACAGGGCACAGAGCCCTTTCCTGGCTCCATGTTATTCTCAAGACAAAGATGAAAACCATCCTTAGCAGGCGTATTTATTCAGAAAGTCACCTGTCCCCTCATTCCTTCCACCAGTGTAGTGAGCTTATCAGATGTGACTATGCAGCCTCGTGACCACAGACATCTTACTTTTGCCTTATTTGGCTTAAGTGTCAGTGAATTGGCTTGAAGAATTCCCAAAGGGGAGGCTGAAAGAAACCAGTGGATTCTGCCTTCTGAGGCTTCATTTAAACTAAGATATATAGGAAAGGGAGAAATACCCCAGCCTTCCCAGAAAGCAGATAGCACAGTTCACTATGAGTGTGGTCATGTTACTGGCTGGTTCAGAGCCCCATGTGTTCCTCTTGGGGAACGCCACCGGAAGCCGGGTGCAGCTGTAGCGGGAGTGGCACATCTGTCATCTCAGCGCTTGGGGAGGGGAGGCAGGAGGGTCAGTAGATCAAGGCCAGCCTGGGCAACTTTTAGTTTTAAAATGCAAAATACAAAGAGGTCTGGGGATAGAGTTCAGCGGTGGAGTGTGTGATTAAAGTGTAGGGTAAAGGTCCATGCATACCTTCAATCTGAGCAAAGGTGAAGCAGAGAGAAGAGAATCTCTGAGCTCAAAGCCAGCCTGGTCTATATAGCAAGTTTCAGGACAGGCAGGGCTACATACACATACCTCGCATACAAAAACAAAACAAAAAACACCTTTTTTGGTTTTGGTTTGGTTTTTTGAGACAGGATTTCCCTGTGTAACAGTCCTGGGTAACCTGGAACACACTTGTGCAAACCAGGATGGCCCTGAACTTACTGAGATCTGCCTGCCTCGAGCACTCAGATTAAAGGCATGCACTACCACCACCTGGAAAAAAGAAAAAAAAATTTTTTTTTTTAATGTAGGAGATGACAGCTAAGGAATTCTGGGCATACACAAGAGCCCCCAAATGGGCTTTTTCAGTATCACTGGGTGACCCTGAATATACATACAAATAACATATTATGGAGGAGGCAGATACTGAGTGACCCTGAATATACATACAAATAACATATTATGGAGGAGGCAAGTTGTATTTATATATTTAGGAATGTATGTTTCTCTGTGTGTTGAGAACAATTTTAAAAACTGAGGCCAGTTTTTAAACTGGGGTGGGAGCACATGGGAAGGGTCAAAGGAAGGAAAGAGAAGGGAGAAAGGATATATTTTAATTTTAAAATATTAATTGTTAAAAACAAAATATGATGATGCACACATGTCTTTATCCAAGCACTCAGGACAGTCTCCTGAGTAGGCAGGCAAATGTCTGTGAGTTCAAGGCCAGGCAGGTCTACATAGTAAATGTCAGTAAGACCCTGTCTCAAAAAAAAAAAAAAAAAACCTGGGAGGCAGAGGCAGGAGGAGTGAGTTCAAGGCCAGCCTGGTCTACTAAGGGAGTTCCAGATGTCTGTTTGTTTGAATTTAAAGCAGGCTAAGCAAGGCCTGAGGAGCTAGCCAGCAGGCAGCAGCCCTCCACGGCATCTACATCAGGTCCTATCTCCCAGTTCCTGCATTGTTTTCAATACCAGGTTCCAGCCTGAAAAGAAGCTCCTTAAGTGGGAAGGTAAACAACTCAGAATAGCTTTAGGAAGTCCCTGAAACTGACCAGAATCAGGAAGTCCCTCCCTGCCAGAGGAAACGATAAAAACTTAGAGAGGCTTATGACTAGCAGAACAGTGCTGCATCAAAGACTCTGACCAGCCCAGCTGCCTTGAAGAAGCACAAACCAGCTGAACTGTGTGACAGACGTTTAGACCAACTGAAGCACCTGCAAAGGTCACTCTCCAACCTGCTGGCCTGCCTGCAGGGGCTCCAGGCTCCAGCTTGGTGAGCTGTCACCCATGTGGGGGTGGGCTTTGGTGATGCAGCTGTCTTTGAGTCATTTCTGCTCCTCACTCATATTCTTATAAGTAACCCCAATAAAAATCATGGTTCACCAAGCTGGACTTTGGTGTTATCTGTACTTTGGTCTGCCATGAGTCCTCTATCCTGAGTGAGTAGCCCTGTGTTTCGTCTCCCCTAGGAAAAGCTGTTTCACGCAACACTGTCTTAATTGCTTTTGATGATGAACTATTATAAGGAGATGGGTGTAAGTAAACACTTTACCAAATTACCTTTGCTCACAGTATTTCATCCTAGCAAGAGAAGCCCTACGACATTCTTTAAGAGCAACAAGAGCTCTTATCTGCCAACCGTCTCTCCAGTCCCAAGTTCTGCTTTATATTTCAAAGAAATACCTTATCGATAGATTCTCCTTGGCATACCAAGTTGCCGGTAAAATACTCTCATGCTGGGGCTGGCAAGATAGCTCAGTGGTTAAGAGCACTGGCTGCTCTTCCTGAGGACTTGGATTTAACTCCCAACACCCACATGGCAGATCACAACTGTCTGTAACTCCTCTAGGGGATGTAACACCCTTATACAGACTTACATGCTAGCAAAACACCAATGTACATAAAATAATAATAAATCATTAAAAAAATTAAAAAAAAATGACTCTCCTGCCTTGAAGTCACTACTAACAGGAGATTCACCACAACATAGACCCTGCCATGCTGCTATCCTTGACCCATGACCAAGATGGCTACACAATGACTGAGCAGACGGTGTAGACAGCCTGGCTTGAAAAAAAACGAGGAGATGATTCATATCCCAGACTGGACATTGTGGGAGGCAACATATTTCATCACACTGCTCAGAACAGCATGCAATTTGAAACTTAGGAACTCAATCTTTCTTTCGTTTTCTTTTTCTTTTCTCTTGAGATAGGGTTTTCTCTGTGTAGCCCTGGCTGTCCTGGAACTTGCTCTGTAGACCAGGCTGGCCTCGAACTCACAAAGCTCTGCCTGCCTCCACCTCCTGAGTGCTGAGACTAAAGGTGTGGGCCACCACACCCTCCTGAAACCTCACTATTTTTGTTATATTCCATAACTATTTTTGGATCCTGGTTGTCCATGGCTAAGTGAAATCTTGGAAAGTGACCCTATGAATAATTTTAATAACATTATGGCTCAGAGTTGTTGAGTCAGAGAGATTCTCATTCAAGGAGCAGACTCTGTCCACACCTTGCCAGGATATGTCCCATGCTCAAACCTCTTCCTCGAATTGGTTATAGATATAACTAAGTGGCATGAACCTTTCCTACTGGCTGCAGCCACATCCCAGGAGAGGAGAACCTTCCATCCTAGGGCTGGCCGGCTTCCTACAACATCTCAGTCATGATCTAGTGGTCAAGGGGGCATCCGGGTGACTCACAGCTTCTTCATGATGGTCCTTTCTTCCTTCTCACTGTTGCCCATGGTGACCACAGCATCCTTCTCTCTTCTTCCTCCTGGAGCATCTCTGGGTGGAAGCAGGCCACTGGGAAAATGGGAGAGAAGGGGCAAATAGTTGTACTGTGGATCTCTTTATGGGGTTTTAGTTCAGTGGTACAGAACATGCTTAGTACACAGCTGGCCTCTGACTCCATCCCTGACACCAAAAATAAATAAAATAAGGTATTCATTGCTGTTGTGCTTTGAGACAAGGTTTCACAATGTAGATCAGGATGGCCTTAAACTTAAGAGAGATCTGCCTGCCTCCGCCCCTGGAGTGCTGGGATTAAAGGGTGTTCTACCAAGCCTGACCACTGTTGTCTCCAATCAGAATCTCACTATACAGCCCAAGCTGCCTTGAACTCATGATCCTCCAGGTTTACTGAGATTACAGCAGACACGCATGACCACACGTGGATGAACTCAAGTTTGTACAGAGAGGGTCTCATATAGCACAGGCTAGCCTCTGAATTTGTAATCCTCCAGCCTCTATCTCTGGAGTTTAGAGATTATAGGCATGTGCCATAACACCCAACCTGGATATCCCTTTTGTTTGTTTGTTTGATTGGTTTTGGTTTTTAGAGACAGGGTTCATCTGTGTAGCTTTGGAGCCTGTCCTGGAAATCTCTCTGTAGACCAGGTTGGCCTCGAACTCACAGAGATCCCCTTGACTCTGCCTCCTGAGTGCTGGGATAAAAGGCGTGCAGCACTGTCGCCACCACCTGGCAACTTGCCTGGACTTCTCTTGGTCAAGGCTCCCTACTAAACTATCAAGGGCTTTTCGCTACCAAGAGGCGCATTAGCCAGTGCTGTGCAGCTATGCACTCGGTGCCTAGCACTTAGTGGGTGTCCAGTAAACTGGGTGAGTGGACACAGAAGCCAGTGTGTAATGCACTGAGGGCTCTGGGCTGCTGCAGCGAGCCTACCTCCTGTAGCACTGCAGTTCCTCCTGCACCAGCAGCAGCTGAGACTTGAGCTTGTTGCGCTCCTGCAACACGTCCTTCAGCTCCTGCAGAGTGAAGCGGGGCCGGTTGGGGTCGGTCAGATCTACTACCATTTTGTCTGGTCCCAGGTTCACCTGAAAGACAACATGCCAACAGGGTCAGTTACCACACTGGGCCACACCCACCCCTGATGCGATGGGCTCCGTGGCTCCCAGGTGCCCTGGAAGTCTGGGAAAGTACCATTCCCTCAGAGGAGACCCAGGGTTCCTAACAGCAGCTAAGCCGGGACTGGAGCACAGGGAGTATGGCCAAGGAGTGCATCACATTAACAGAGGAACGGAGAAATCAAAGTTCGAAGGCCCTACTGCTCAAACTGAGGACTTGAGTACTGTTATCTAAGAGGGAATGGGATGGGATGCACCCACATGGCTGCTCACAACCATCTATAACTCAAGTTCCAGAGGACCCAACACCCTCTTCTGACATCTGAAGGTATTAGGCACACACATGTGGTACACACACATGCACACAAGCAAAACCCCCATACACATGAAATAAAAATCAATGCATTAGAAAGAGAGAAGACAGAGGCAGACACCTGCCTCACATGTGTGAAGCCAGGGTTCCATCCCCAGCACCAAAAAACACCCATGAAAATACACTGAACCAAGACTGTCACAAGTTACACGTGTTATGTAATATGAAGATCCACATGACTCCCCTGGGACACAGTCACACTGGGGCTGTGTTTCTAGTCTCACCATGTACATTCCATTGCGTCAGGGTACACCCAGTTCAGACCTCTCACCACTGATAACGGACAGGACAGTGGAATTTCCCCAAACTCATTAAAAAACAAAGACATTCCTCATACTTTTTTTATATATAGAATGCTGACTCAGGGTTTCCTGATCCACTCCCTGGGTAGCTGTGGATGGCTGAAGGGTTTCACCCACCCTGAATCCAGGGAATAAGACAAAAACAAAGTCAGGGGTGCTGGCCCACACTTTTAATCCCAGCACTCAAGAGGCAGAGGCAGGTGGATCTCTGTGATTTCAAAGCCAGGCTGGTCTACAGAGTTCCAGGACAGCCAGAGCTACACAGTGACCTCAAAAAAACAAGCAAACAAAGAAAAAACAAAAGGGGAGGAGGATTAGGAGAGCGGTGTGCTCAGTCTATCACTACCCTACCTAGAGACTAAAGGGAAAAGAAAAGCCAACCAAACAAAAACCCCAGGGTTTCTTTAGGGGAGGGCTATTTGTTTTTGAGATAGGGTTTCTCTGTGTAGCCCCTGGCTGTTTTCGGAACTCTCTCTGTAGACCAGGCTGGCCTCAAAAAAATAAAAGTGTAAAAGAAAAAAAAACAAAAACCATGTGAATGAACTTGGTGCTCCTGAACAATTAACCTGAACATGGTAAAGGAGGCTTGGGGAAGCCACCATGGTACAGCACATGCCCAGTGAGAGCCAGGCCTTGAGGTCCAGCCCTGCCATAGTTAACAAAAATAAATAAGTAACTTAAAAAGATACAAATAGAAAGTAGGCAGATGCCAGTAGGTGGTGGTGCACACCTTTAGTCCCAGCACTCAGGAGGCAGAGGCGGGTGGATCTCTGTGAGTTGGAGACCAGCCTGGTCTACAAGAGCAAGTTCCAGGACGGCTTCCAAAGCCATGGAGAAACCCTGTCTTGAAAAACCGAACAACAACAAAAAAATAAAAGGAGGCAGAGAGATGGCTCTTGTAGAAGACTCCGGTTAGCTTCCCAGCACCCACATGATGGCTCACAACCGAAATATGCCCAGGTCAGGGGATTTGACAGGCACACATGGTACACAATAATAAATCTAAAAAATCATGTATAAGTAAACCAATAAACCCAGTACCAGAGAGGCAGAGGCTGATTTCTGTGAGTTTCAGGTCACAGTGAAACTTTGTCTCAAAAAATAAAGTGAAGATAATAAATGAGTCTCGTGTTACATGTATTTGACCACAAGTCAAAATGATTCAAATACCATAAAAATGTAATAAAAAGAAGAGGATATTTAAATAAACTGTGTTGTCATTAAACATTTTTTTTTTTTAATGCTCTCTTTCCTTCCTTTTTTGTTCTCTGAGGCAGGGTCTTGCCATGTAGCCTGGGCTGGCCTCAAACTCCCAACCATCTTGCCTTAGCCTCCCAAGCTGGTGTGACAGGCATATATCACCACATCCGGATCCCCACCCCCACGCCTCCCACACTCTGACTTCAGACTGTATTTAAGGAAGAAAATATGCTACCTCATCTGGTGCCTCGACACTTGTCCCCTCTGCCCCATGGGGGAAGTCACTGGGCCCCATGCAAACTACAGTTCCCAGGCCATTTCCCTGTGCCTGAAGACCATATGCACCAAATAGCTTGGATACGGTAGAGTAACCCGGGCAAGAGAAGTGGTTAAATTTCTTGAATTGCCAAGGCCAGGCTACCATGGAGGTTCTTGGTCGTCACCCAGGATGGACATGGAAGAAGAGTCTCTCTGCAAATGCAGTCAACATTGTCCCTTAGGAGCTGCTGAAATTACCAGTAGTGGTGGTGATTCACAGAAGGACTGAGCCAAGATTACCATGCGTTCCAGGCCAGCCTGAGCTACAGAGTAAGACCCTGCCTTAAATAATACAAAACCAGAAAGCAGTTAAGTGGAATAAAAGAAAAAAAATAGACCAGGGAAGAAATACATGTATGGGGGTGGGGGAAGTTGTGTGTGTGTGTGTGTGTGTGTGTGTGCCTGCACACACACAAAGTTACAGGAAGTCCCTTCTTAGGATGTTTGTTTAAGCTGGATATAGAGGCTCACGCTTGCACTCTGGATGCTTGGGTGGAGGACCTCTGTGAGTCTGAGTCTAGTATGGTCTACACAGAAAGTTTCAGGCCGGCGAGGGCTACTTAATGAGACTCGGCTTTAAAAAAAAAAAAAAAAAAAAAAAAAAAAAGTAAATCAAGGCTGGAGTTATAATTCTGTGGCTAAGAGCACTGGCTTTTCTTGCAGAAGACCTGAGTTCGAGTCTCAGCACCCACATGGCAGCTCACAACCACCACGCCCTCTTCTGGCCTTTCCGGGCACTGCATGCATGTGGCACACAGAAGTACTGCAAAGCAGAACATCCATACACACACACACACACACACACACAGACACACACACACACACATACACACACCACAAAACAAAGGTCAAAATGATTTTTAAAAGAAGGTAAGTAAATTAAAAACCAAAACAGTAGGCTACTGACATGGGCCACTGCAGGGTCAGACACCTAGTAGGTACTCAGTAAGTGTTAATTGTGGGAAAACTTCCAAACTGAGGCGTGGGTTCGCTCACCTGACCTCCGGACACACCGGCTCTCCGCAGACCCTCCACCTCCTGCCTGAGGTTGTCCCTCTCCATCCTCAGCTCCTCGGCCACCAGACTGCCCTCGTTCACCAACGCCTCCAGCATCTCCATCACGCGCACGATCTTAAATTGCAGCCGGGTGATGCGGGGGTCGCTGCCCAGGGCCATCAGCTCGCGGCCCACCTCGTAGGAGATGTCGTACACGTCGTCGGTGGTCAGCTGCAGGGGACTCTTGGCCAGGGCGCCTTCGTCGTCCTCTCCGTCCTCCTCCTCCCGCACAGGGGGCTCCTCCATGGTGCCCCCGACTTCGGCGACCTCCGGGGCTGCTGTCACCTACACGTCCACTGGCTTTGGGTCGAGGAAATTTAGCGCTGGGCCGAGTCCACGTCGTGTGCAGTCTGAGTGGCCCCGGAAGAATGCTCCGAGTCGCGGGAAGCACTGCACCGCACCACGGAAAACCACGCGCAACCGCACAGCCGTGCGCCAGATGTAGGGGACACGGAGAAAGGGCCGTGTGAAGCAAAGCTGCGAGAAAAGAGAGGAGCAGGAGAGAACCAGCGGTCTGCTTGCCCGCGGGGGTGGAGCCGCCCGTAGCTCCGCCCTTGGTGTCTGGCGCGTGAGAAGCCTGGTTTCTATAGAGACGGGGGCGGACTTTCCAGGATGGTCATGGAAAGAGGGTTTAAAAAAAAAAAAAAACTCACAACTTTTTCACATTGCAAACTGGAGATTTCCAGCTATCGAATTTGCATGCCAGGGGAGGGGAAATCCAGGTCTCTATGAAGTTTTTTGTTTTGTTTTGTTTTTTTGTTTTTTTTAATTGTGTAGCAAAAAGCAGCAGACAGCCGTTGGGTTGGGCGTTGGTGGAGCATGGCAACTGGGGCCTCTAGCACTCAGCTATCTATCTTGTTGGCTACCCCGTTATATCTCAATACATGTGAGCAAGAAAATGCAGAGTCGACTCCCCTGCACCGTGAATGGACCTTGAAAAACAAACGGGCTGCTAAAGGGAAAGAAGCTAGCACAAAAAGCCACGTACACACGATTTCCCTTTCTAAGAAATGTCCAGAATAAAGGAGTTCCCAGGCAGGGAAGGGCAAGCAGCTTCCTGTTATTAAAAGCTGACACACAGCTCACACAGCTCCATTCAACGAGATGTGTTCAAGAAAGGGCCTCATGGCTGGGATCAGACCTGGAGGTGGGAGGGAGAGCATTACTGGATAGCAACAATACAATCTGTGAAGTTCTAAACAGGACCCAGCCTTAACGGTAAGGCCCTCGCTCCCTTTAAAGCCTAGAGAGGAGCTTTAAGAGTGAAATAAACTCTTGAAGTTGCAGCACAGGCCTTTGTGAGTTTGAGGTCAGCCTTGTCTACTGATGAAGTTCCAATACAGCCAGGGCTACACAGAGAAACCCTATCTGGAAAAACAAAAACCAACCAGCCAAACAAACAAAATACCAAAATGTGTTCCGTTGAGGATTGATACTTTTGATATCAAAACCAAACAAACATTGGGCCGGTGTGGTGGTACATACCTTTAATCCCAGCACTCAGGAGACAGGCAGGTAATAGCCAGCTTGATTTAACATGTTTCATTCAAACTAGGGCTCCTCAGTAAGATCCTGTCTCAAAATAACAGAGGACTGAGAGACTGAAGAGATACTTTAGCAGTTAAGAGCTTACTGCTTTTCTAGAGGACCAGGGTTTGATTCCAAGCACACACACCATGTTTAACTCCAGTCCCTAATGGTTTCATATATTTTCCTGACCTGATCTGACACTGGGCATGCTCATAGTGCACATAACATATATTGCAGGCAAAATTCAAAAGCACATACAATAAAACGATGGATTAAAAGAAAAAGGATGGGGCTCTTGATTTTTTTTTTTTTTTTTTTTTTTTTTGGTATGGTATAGGTCAGGCTAGCTGGCCAGCAAGTTTCTGTTGTCTGTCTCCTGTCCTCTATAAGGGAATTGGGGTTACAGAGCTGGACACCACTAAAGCACCCGGCTTTCATGTGGGTTCAGGAATTTCAAGTGTTTTTACCCACTGAACCGTCTCCCAAGCCCCTAGGAACTGTTTAGAAATCGAAATCGAAATTGTGAGGAGGTAAAGGTAGTCTGGTAGGGGGAGCACAATAGAGTAACAGGAATGTGCAGGGATGAGGTCCGGTCCTCAGCACCAAAGCCCTGGATGCTCCATTCCCCAGCACCAAAAACAATACAGAGGGAAGAAGAGACATGCAAATTCTCCATGCACTGATTCAGAAATACCACAGCTGCCACAGCAGTGTTTTCATCAAAAAGCCCTCTAGGTAACAGGTTTTTATTTTTGCTCAACCATTTGTTTATTTCTTTTTATTTAGATAGTCTCACTCTGTAACTTCTGGCTGGCCTGGGATTCACTATTTAGCCAGTCTATTCTCAAACTCATGGCAACCCTCCTGCCTCATCTTCTTTTTGAGAGTTGGTCTTACAGGTGTGAGCCACTACGCAGGGCAATATTTGTAATCCATACTGATGGTGCATCCATTCAGGCAGTGGGCTCAAGAGCAGAGCTCAAGGGTTCAAAACTTGGCTTTGCTACTTGTGGACTGTGTTGAAGTCAGGTAAGAACATTACTCCTGACTTAGGGGCTCAGTTTTCCCAGCTGTAAAATGAGAACAAGGGTGTTCTAGAAGATTTCTGTGGATTGTTGAGGACACATCTGACAGAGAGGGGGTGTTCAACCAGTGTTATTTTATTTATTTATTTATTTATGTCTTTCAGAAATTCAGCAACTTTGCCTTTTGTTCTTTTTGTTTTTCAAAACCACCATTCCTTTGGGAGTTAAGACACATAGGAAAAAGGTTGGTTAAAACAGAAAATACAAGTAAGTGGGTGGGGGTCACACATGATCAAAGTGGAACTGGAGATGTTTGGTCCTGACACCCACAAACAGGAATGTTCCACCAGCTGTGGGTGTATTGTTCAGGTCCTGACTCTCTGACACCTCCTCTTTCCATAGTGCCTTCTTCAGGGTGGCTGCTCTGGGGTTCTAGACACCATGTTCATTCATGCAGGAAAACAGCCAGGATTCTGTTACTTTCCTAGACTGTGCAGTCCATCTTTATTTAAGCTCTTTGGGGAGGGTCCAGGTGCTGACTGAAGTGCTTATTTTCTGTGCATCAGTAGTAAGTGACCTTTTTTCTTTTCTTTTTTCCTTTTTTTTGTTTTGTTTTGAAGACAAGGGTTTCTCTGTGTCGCCCTGGCTGTCCTGGGAATCGCTTTGTAGACTAGGTTGACCTGGAACGCAGAAAATCACCTGTTTCTGCCTTCTGAGTGCTGGAGAACCATGTGCCACCATGCCTGGTAATTATTTTGTTTTTAAATTTCTGTGATCTGGGCCAGATGGTCCGGGCCCACCTTTGTTACCCATTAGTAAATAAAGAACCTCCAGGCACCTGGGTGGTGGTGGTGGTGACGCAAGCATCTAAATCCAGCTCTCAGGAGGCATCGACAAGGCTACCTCTGCGAGTTCAAAGCCAGCCTGATCTACAGAGTGAGTTCCAGGACAGCCAGGGCTACACAGAGAAACCCTGACTCAGAAGAAAACAAACAGTGCTCAGGTCGGCCACTCAGAATTGTGGGCCTGGATTCTAGGACTCGTGAGGCTGAAGCATGAGGATTGCCAGGAAAAAAGGGAGTGGAGGAGGCTGAAAGATTTTTTTTTTTCCTTTTGTTTGTCCTTTTCACAGATTATTTTATGTGTATAGGTGTTTTGCCTGAGAAGCTTGCAGTGCCCTGGGAAACCAGAGAGGGCGTTTGATTGTCTAGAACTGAAATTACAGATGGCTGTTAACGACTATGTGGGTACTGGGAAACGAACTCAGGTCCTCCATAAAAGCAGCCAGCTCTTAATCCCTGAACCACTTTCCAGCTTGTTTTTTGAAACAGGTTTCATTGTGTGTCCTGTGATTACAGGTGCGCCCACCATGCCCAATACTAAAAGTGAAGTTATTAAATCTAGAGATTAGTAAAACTATGGGAATGAAAGAAATAACTTCACATTAAGATCACCAACATTTTCTAGGAGAGAATTCAATGTAACCAGATTCGCAGCGGAAACTGGTCCCTGAAAACTAACGGCACATTCGGTAGTATACCGATTAAACTTAAATATTTTTATCGTCATGAAAAACAAACAAAACGAAGTCTCCTTATCCTTAAAATATCCACTTCCGTATGCTGAACGTCTATAATAATTTTCTTTTTTAAAGTAATTCAAGAGCCGAGAGAAGGGCCCATGCCTTTAATCCCAGGACTCAGGTGGCAGAAGCAGGAAGATTTCTCTGAGTTCGAGGCCAGCCTGGTCTACCGAGTGGGTTCTAGGACAGCCAGAACTACATACTGAGTCCCTGTCTCTGAAATAAAAACAAAAACAGCTCAAGGTCTGTGGCGAATCTGCTGCTGCCAATACAGAGTTTCGGTGGAAGTCGTCGTAAGAAATCCGGAGTCGCTGGCAAACGGGCGTTGGGAACGGCCTCTGACTCGTCTCGGTGCGGAAAGAACCCAGGACATGCTGAGGTGAGTAGAAGCTCGGAGGGAACAGGGTGAACGCGAGGAGGCGGAGAGAGTGGTCCCGCAGTCTCTGTGCGGCGCCACGTCCGCGCGTGGCCGACGCCATGTTGAAGCCTGGCAGAGGCGGAGGGCGGGAGGTGGGAGTGGGACTGAGGGTTGGGTGGGAGGTCGGGCCTCGCGGGGGAGCGGAGGGTGAGCCAGCCTTTAGGGTTCGTCAGGGACTAGCCCGAGCCTGGGGATCACGGAATTAGCTTCCTACCGGCACTTCCGCCCTGGCTTCCTCAGCGCTACTGCGCATGCCTGATGGGTTGATTGACGTGGCTATTCGTTTCGCTTTTCCTCGGGTTTTTCAGAGGGAGCCCTTGCCAGCTTCTCGAGTTCCTGTGGCCTACCCACCTCCGGTGAGGACACTTTTTTTTTTTTTAGTGTAGAGCTCATGTGTCCAGTGCTGGCCTCCAACTCATTAGGTAATCAAGGACGAGCCTGAACCCCGGATCTATCTCTCTAGTACTGAGATTACAGAGTGTGCCCCCACGCCCTGCCTGCTCGGGCTACTTTAGGCCTAATCTAAAAGAAAAAAAAAAAAACCAAAAAACCAACAAAACCTTCCATTAATTCCAGTGAGTGACAAGTTGGTATTCTCCTCCTTTTTATAACTCAGTAGAAGGCTGTGTAATGTTCAGCTTCGAACTAGCCCAGGATGACCTTGCTAGTTCCGGTCATTGGGATTGGGATTGGGATTACAAGTGTGTGCTACCATGCCCAATTTTTGATTGTTATTGTGGGGGTGTATTTTGCCCGCATGTATGTTTGTGCACCATATGCATGCCTGGTGTTCACAGAGGTCAGAAAAGGGGTTCAGATCCCCTGGAACTGGAATTACAGACATTTGTGGGTGCTGGGAATTGAACTCAGGACCTCTGCAAGAGTAGCCAGCCCTCGTAATCGCTGAGCCATCTCTCCAGCCCCCAGCTCTTTGGTTTTTGAGAGAGGTATCCCAAACTGGCCTCAAATTTGTGGCAATCCCCCTGCCTCAGCCTCCTGAATGCTGGTACTACATGTGCACATTATCCTGGCCAGGTCTGAATACTGTTTTTTAGGGATGTGGAAAGATGTTGTTAGGAAGGAGTTGTCTTCAGTGTTTTTCAGCTTTGGGTCCAAAGGGTTAGTGGGCAGTCACAAACTCTTTTTTTCGTTTGTTTTTTGAGACAGGGTTTCTCTGTGGTTTTGGAGCCTGTCCTGGAACTCTCTCTGTAGATCAGGCTGGCCTCGAACTCACAGAGATCCACCTGCCTCTGCCTCCTGAATGCTGGGATTAATGTGTTCTCCACCAACGCCTGGCGCTGGCAGTCACCAACTTTCTAGAGTGTGAGTTAATTTTATGTGTCTGGACAAATGCACTACAGTGGGGCTCAGCACAGTTATTCTCATGCCCGACGACATCTATGTAGGTCACCGTGTTGGGAGCTGAGAAGAAAGCCCCTAGTCCTGAGCCCACAGCCCTCATCATGGGCAGTGAAGTTGGTGGCATGTGCCTGCAATCCCATCAGTCAGGAATGTCAGGCAGGAAGAACAGGGGTTCAGGGCCAGCTTGGGGCTATAAAGAAGTCCCGAAACAGTGAAGCTCACCCTTCACCAAAGGGGTGAATGACACTGCCTTCCATAGCCGTGGTGAAGATGGAGAAGATAGGCGCTTCACACTCACTTGCTGTTGCTATTCTAGAACATGAGTGACTGGATGCCCATTGCCAAGGAGTATGACCCACTTAAAGCTGGCAGCATCGATGGCACAGATGAGGACCCACATGACCGGGCTGTGTGGAGGGCTATGCTGGCCCGCTACGTACCCAACAAAGGTGTTACTGGAGACCCCCTCCTTACCCTATTTGTCGCACGACTAAACTTGCAGACCAAAGAGGAAAAGTTAAAGGAGGTCTTCTCCCGCTATGGTGACATCCGGAGGCTGCGGCTGGTCAGGGACCTGGTGACTGGCTTCTCCAAGGGCTACGCCTTCATTGAGTACAAGGAGGAGCGGGCCCTGCTGAAGGCCTACCGTGATGCTGATGGCCTGGTCATTGACCAGCACGAGATATTCGTGGACTATGAGTTGGAGCGAACCCTCCGTGGCTGGATCCCTCGGCGGCTGGGTGGTGGGCTGGGTGGGAAAAAGGAATCTGGGCAGCTGAGGTTCGGGGGCCGGGATCGGCCTTTCCGAAAGCCTATCAACTTGCCAGTTGTCAAGAATGAGCCACACAGAGAAGGGAAAAGAGAAAGGAGGGAGCGCTCTCGATCCCGGGACAGACACTGGGACCCCAGGCCCAGGGAGCGGGACCATGACAGGGGCCGAGAGAAACGCTGGCAAGAGAGGGAGATGGCCAGGGTGTGGCCTGAGAATGATCGGGAAAGGGAGAGAGAGTTCAGGGAGGACAGGGTCAAAGGCAGGGACAAGAGGGACAGGAGTAAGTAGAGCCAACGGCAGCCAGCAGAGGCTTACCCAGAGGCTGCTGGGAAGGCCCTCATCAGACTGGGGCATTTCCCTTTCCAGTATAGAGCCCAGGCCCAGGCTCAGGCAGACCTAAGAGAGGCTTTTGCAGTATTGAGGCTTGAACTGGAGAGCACAAGCATGCTAGGCAAATGTTCCCCTACAGGATGGGAGGGAGAAACAGCTGTTAAGTGACCTGTCTCAATGTGGGAATAGAAAATGATTGTCATCCCAGCACTTGTGAGATGGAGGTAGGAGTATCAAATGAAAGAAGGGATAATAAAGAATTTGTCTTCACTTTCTCACACCCTTTGAGGTGGGGTTCAATGTGGCAAAGGGGACAGTGGTTTAAAGCCCTTCAATAGCCTGGTGTGGTGGCATACACCCTCATCCTAGCACTGGAGAGGCTGAGGCAGGAGAATTCAGGGTCTGAAATGAGCCTAGGTTACAAAATAAAAAACCTGTTTCAGTAACCTACAAGAATTAGATGTAACACTGACATTGACTCCTGGGATGCATTGTCTTTTCTATTTTCATGTTCAGGGTGCGCTGAATTGACATAAAAACAGACTAGAAAAGCCAAGGCCAAGGAGAATTATCCAGTCTGTGATAACCAGACAACAGGTCAAGCACCTGGGTCAGCAGGCAGCGGTTCAAGTTGGTACAACCTACTCCGTGCAAAAATGCTGACTGCCTGCTTTCCCCTGACTGGCATTTACAATGAAAGTAGTCTTGCAGGGCTGTGATCTGCGACTTTCAGCCCTTTGGAAGGAAACCTCAACAGGAGTGAGATGAAAGAATGGAAGGGGCTCGATCCTTGACCACCTGCAGCTGGGCCAAAGGGTTGGCATTTTCTTTTCCTGACTATCTGGATTTTGGTTTGCTGGGAAGCTGGGGTTCTGTAAAGGAGAAGTGAATCAAAGATTGCTCACAGGACCCAGCGTTTAGCCGGGTGTGCTGAGTGCCTCCTGGCACTTGGGAGGCAGGGGCAGGCAGTTTGGTCTGTTTGAAATCCTGTTCCCTCTTTCAAACAATAAACGTTGCCACTAGAGAGCTAGCAAGACAGTTCAGAGCACAGTACATGCTACACGAACCGGAGAGATGGATCAGCATCAAAAAGCACTTGCTGTTCTTGCAGATGACCTGGGTTTGGTTCCCAGTACCACACAGTAGCTTATAAATGTCTGTCATTCCAGCTCTAGGACATCTAACCCTCTTCTAGCCTTAGGCCTCACATACACACATGTATGAATTCATATAAACACATACAGTAAATTGATAAATAAATCCCCTCCCCCCTTGTTTGGTTTATTGAAAGGCTTTCTCTGTGTAGCTTTGTAAATCAGGCTGGCCTTGAACTCACAGAGGGCCACCTGACTGCCTCCCAGGTGCTGGGACTAAAGCATGAGCTACCACAGCCTGGATCAAATCTCTTTTTTACAAGTTCACACAGACTAACTAACAATCCCCAGAATTGATTCCCAAAAGTTGTTACGTGACCTCCACATGAGCACTATGGCGCACATATCACACATACAACAATAAAAGTTGCTACCAGAGCCTGTCAACCCAGCACTTGGGAGACACAGGACTATGCAGACAGCCTCAGGCCAGGCCAGGCAGTAGTGGTGCACATCTTCAATCCCAACTCTAGGGAGGTAGGGGCAGGTGAGTTTGAGGGCAGCCTGGTCTACAGAGCAAGATACAGGACAGGCTCTAAATCTGAAAAAAAAAAAAAAAAAAAAGTCTGAGGTCAGCTAGAGCCAGATAACAAGTCCTAGCCCCTACCTCTGCAAAAAAAAAAAAAAAAAAAAAAAAAAAAGTTGCCAATGATTTTCTATCTCCTCACTGGAGTGGCTAGAACTTCTGATGTCACTTACATTGGAGCCACCATGTGACTATATGCATGTAGCCCATGCTCAGCTTCACTGTTTCTTAGCAAAAAGAGTACAATGCACAGGGCATGGTCCCAACCATCACATGATCTTAGGAAGTGCTGCCTTCCGAAACCCTGAACCCTGCCTGAGTGCTCTGCATTAGCAGAAGTACATGGACCAGCCTCCAGTGGCCATGGCAACCACAGGTCAGCTAAGCATGTAGTTCTCAAACCCCTGTTTACCCACTGCCCTTCCACCATACATCTGTCTTCCTCATCCACCATATCCTGTCACCTAAGCTCGTGAGCTTTAAGGCACTGTCTTCTCTGCATAGGACCCAGAATTTCACACAAGGAACAAAGATGACAAGAAAACGCACTCAAGGAAACATGTTGATGTCTCATCCTAGACAACTTTGTTTGGTTAGTACTGTGTAGCTCACAGCAGATTCAAGGCACACCACTTTGGACAGGCTGCTTGGGCCTCTAGTCTTACCAGGAGCAACAAGTGACAAACAATCCCAAAATGTTTCCAGCCTGTGGCTGGGAGGACTGTGATGACTTTCCCTTGTGTCCCGTCCAAAGTCGGGCGGCTCTTCCTATGACTAGAGGCTTTGTCTGTCCACTCCAAACATCCTCTACAACCTGCTACCTCCAGGGCAACTGCATAATGTAATATAAAACTCCCCTCCCACTGCCTCTCACTAACATGACAAAGGCCATGAGAAAACAAAACAAAACAAAAAACTAAACCTAGGAGTCAAATAGCCAAGATAGTGGTCAGCAATGTGTTCAGCTTAGGAAGCTTGTTAAAATTAACGAGGTCTGGCTTCAGATCCTTGTCTCATTAAATATAGGTCCTCCTAAGGGGTCAGAGGCATTGAGTATAAACTGGATAGCCCTGCAGATAAATAGACACTTCTTTAGAAGATTTTGGCATCAGGTTTTCATCACCCTCAAAGCAGACAGTTCGTTTGAGGGGTCCATGTTGAGGCAGCCACCCAGAGCAGATGGCAGGCGGTCCAGGAGGGGCACAGTCACAGGTGCTGTAGGGCTTCCTGTCCTTGTTCTGTGTACCCGTCATCTCGGTGAATATTTGCCCACTGGCCAAAGGACTCATGAATGTGCGTGGGTCTCTGTGTGTTGGCCAGGCGCTTCTTGTCCCGGGAGAAAAAGCTAAACCTTTTGAAAGGGGAAAAGAGAAACAGATGGAAGTGAGAGCTTGCCCTCTGCTGCTCCACCTAGCTCCAAGGCTAGGACACACAGGAACAAACAGAGGGGCGCAGACCCAGTCTCAGTATGGGGGACGCAGTCAGCAGAATTCTACAAAGCACTGGAACTTTGGGTGGCATTGAGAGACCCAACCCTGGGCCTTGTGCATGCTAGGCAAGCACTCTGCCTACTGAGCCCAGCCCCGGCCTAGAAATTTCTTTAATGAATCTAATGATGCTTAAAAGGTACCTAAGAGTTGTGAGAAAAAGGATTCTGAGGCAAACCCATTCTTAATATTCATCATTCATCCATACATTTATTCATTCACTCATTCATGTATGAGTGTGTGGGTTCCTGTATGGATGCCAGAGGACAAATAGTAGGAGTCAATTCTATTCTTCCAGGGTGTGGGTCCCAAGGGTTGAATGGGTCCTCAGCCTTGGTGGCAAGTTCCTTAATCCACTGAGCCATCTTGCCAGCCCTCATAGGTGTGACTAGTATTTTACCACTGACCCACACTGTGTGTGTGTGTGTGTGTGTGTGTGTGTGTGTAGGTCTAAAGTCAACTTGAGGAAATCAGTTCTCTCCATCCATTCCACCTTAGGTCCCAGGTATCGAACCTGGGTCCACAGGCTTAGCTGCATGCGTGTTTACTCCATCCAGCCATCTCACTAACCCCCAGCCCATTGATGCTAATCTTATAAGACTTTGCAAAATCGCCCAGGCTGACTTTTAATTTGTGATCCTCCTGTGTCAACCTCAGGTAGTCATGCTGGGCAGGAAGCACTTTTGCCTGCTGAGCCATCCTGCGAGCCACCTAAACTTTGTCTCTTGTTCACCCCCACTACTGCCATCACCTCTCTCCTGCCCCTAGCGGAAGAGCTGAGATTCTAGGAGCATGCTCCGGGATCGGACTTTACATGGGTCCAGATCTGAACTCAGGTCCTCACATCTGCCGGCTCCCCAGTCCCAGGGGTTTGGTTGCAATCACATCCAGTTAAGAGAATGCTACCCTTCTGGGGCTTCTGGAGCTACACTCCCTTTCTAGCAGAAATAGAAGGCTCTTTCACCCTCAAGCCAAGTTCACCTGGGGAAATTCTCTAGGACTTTGAAGGACAAGTGTGAGAGAGGTCAAGTGGAGGTGAGGGTTCACGCTCTTTCTCACACAGAGCAGCCACGGAGTTAGCTCGCCCACCACTGCAGACTCACCCCTGTTATGTCTCAGCCTGACTTAGGGAAGCCACCTGCAGACACCAGCTCCTTCCCCCCCCCCCACACTTTTGCACCAAACCAAACAGCTGCCAAGACAAAGCTGTTTAGAAAGCTGGAGATGGAAAAGCAGTTAGTGTCACGCTCGGATCCCCAGGGGGCACTGGTTACTGACCCGTCACCTAAAGGATCTTCTTTACTGGATGATGGACAAGGTGGGTTTTAGAGCGAAAACAGAAGAGACAGAAAGAATTATCGGTGACATTCCCGGCTGCACTCGTGGAGGTCAAGGGCAACAGTGTCAACCACACTCCATACCCACTTGAGATGCCAACAAGCAGGTGACGGCCATGCAACTGAAGTGGCCAGAAGGGAGGGACAGGCTGGCAGCAGCCACCACAGCCATTCTAAAGGCACAGCAGAAAAGAAAAACAGAAAACCCCAAAACAAAACCCCAAACACAGACAGTGCCTACGAGGGACACGAGTCTTCGCACAGGCTGCAACGTGGGGTCATCAAGGATCAATCCGGCTGCCACCATGGGCATGACGGCTGTAAAGAGCCTGCTTCCAGAAGCAGATAGACAGAGGAGATAAACAGGGTAGTGTGACCAAGAAACCCGCCTCTCTAGAAGTTCCCACACCTACTGTCTGTGTGATAGGCCGAGACAACCCCCCCACCCCGCGCCATGTTCCTCTGCAATGACCCTATCTCAAAAGCACCGATGACCTTGTATGTGGGGAGAAGTGTGGAACACAGGCTACTATACAGAGGCAGAGATGGATGATGTTCCTATAGGCTAAAGAACCCCAAGAGAGTCTCTCCCAAGGAACTAATCATGAGGTAAATCACTCATCTTACTATTACTATTATATATATACTGGGGGTGGAATCCAGGCCTTGTGGATTCTGGCTAAACACTCCAACACTGAGATATGGAGATATGTTGTTCCCAGTTTTCTTTTCCCCATGGGTAGGGACAACACAGAGTCATGTACCTCAGGCTGGCTTCACTCTCAATACTTAACTAAGAGTGACTTTGAACTTGGGATATCTGGGCTTCCACCTTTCAAGGGCTGGGTTTATTACAGGTTCATGTGCTGAAACTGAACCCATGCACACTAGGCAAGTACTCTACCAACTGAGCTACAGCCTCAATACCTTACAAAATAATAATTATTATTGTTAATATTATTATTTTGGGTTTT